ACATGTCTCTTTTAAGATCTAGTAAAACTTTCCTGTAAAAGGAAGCCTTGCCGAGGCGTTTCGGGGGAGGCCTCGTGCCCGATCACCACCGCTCTTCGGCTCTCCTTGAATCCTACATCGTGCTGGATTGTAGGATTGACCATCCGCTGTCTACACTTCTTTCACCTTAACTCTCACCGTCTCTGAAGTTCTCGCACGCCTTCCCTTTTCCTCTGTAAGTCGTGATTCTGTCTCTCAGTGGGGACCCCTCCACGCATGTGCGTATCTTCCACAACAACACTAAAGTTCGCTGGGCATGGTGGTGCACAGCTGTAATGCCAGCGCTCTGGACACTGAGGCAGGACGACGGCCACAAGTCTGAGGCCAGCCTGGGCTACCCAGTGAGTTCTGGGTCAGCCAGAGCTGCATCGTGAGCGCCTGTCCAGGAAGACGAGCAAACAAATGAACAAAAACGCCCCCCAACTTTCCCCAAAAAGCCTAAATTCATTTAGTGTTCCTGAATAGGATACGGATCCTAGCATACATCAGCGATTCCTTGGACAACTTCCTCCTGGTACATCATGTTGTATTGTTTTCCTTGAACTTGGTTTTGCCTTTTAAAATACACATACAAAGATTAGTTTTAAAATTAAAACCAGCTGGGCACTCAAGGAGGATAAGGCGGGGAATCACTGTGCGTACTGTAAGGTCCGCCTGAGAATCAGAACCAAAACTTGATTAAATTTGCTTAAACTTTTCTCTTATTTGAACAAGGCCCTCCCCAATCCTCCTGCATTCTCTCCACTGTGTGCTGGAGATTTGCACAAGCCCTTGCATCTTGGTAGGCTACTGATGGCCTGGACGGCGGCGCAGGGACGGCTCTGTGTTCCTGAGCCAGAGAAGAAGGCGATGTCACCATGGTGAACCTGGTACGCAGAGCCCCGAGCCTCCCGGTGTCCTGGCCCACGGGCAGCGTCCACAGCGCCGTGGCTGTGTTAGTCCCTGAGGCTTTCATCCGCTCCATGGTGACCGTAAGCAGGGCCTTGTTCCTGGTGTCTGGGACTCCTCTGTGGCTTCGCTCTTCTTCCTGCTGAAAGGCATCCTTTCCTGGGCTTTTCCTTGTTTTAAATGGAGGTCCGTGGGTCTAGACTCTTTGGTCTCTAACTGAAGAGGCCGCCTGTTCTCAGGGGGTCCTCCCAGCTCCCGCTGGCACCACTCACAGGCTCTCTCCACCATCGTCTGGCTTTGCTGGAGCCTGTGCCGGTCTACTCCCGGCCTCTCATTTCCTTTCTCTCATCACTTGCACTTCATCCACATATGTGTGGGTTAAACACGTGGCTCATGCACAGACTCACAGACTGAGCGAAGCTGAGCGGCACAGCCCTCTCTCCCAGGCTCCAGCCCAGGGGGGCCGTGAGCATGCAGGCCAGGACTCTGTGGCCAGGCCCTTCTGAGTTGGAAACAGAGCCAGCCCTGGCTGCCTTGGTCTTCGGCACGGAAACTCCCTACGCTCCTTTCTCACCTCTGTGGAAAGCGCCTGTTTTTTTCTGTGCCCTGCGGAACTCAGGCGAGGGTTTCAGGCAGCCCGAGCCTGTCCTGTGAGCCACCGCCTGCCATCTCTGCACCTCACTGAGGTCTCCACTTCTTCCTCAGCCTCCTGTTCCAGCCCATGAGGGCGCAGCTGCAGGCAAGCGGTGAGGAGGAAGCACCGATGTCTCAGCTGCATCTACCAGGCGCACATCGGCCACGAGTGCGGTGCGGAGTCACTGCGGGGATCCTCTCAGCCCGGCAGAGGGCTGGGAGACATCAAGAGCACTGCGTCAGCATGGGACAAGGCTGGGCTGGACGCAGTCTAATGCCTACCCGGGCACTCACGGCCCAGTTCCCTTCCTCCCTGGCCCTGCTTCCCTCCTGAACACAGGAGAAGATTCCTGCCTCCAGGGCATGGAGCGGGCCTCGCTGGCCTCACAGATGCACACAGAGGTCCTGCGGTTGCAGGCTCTGGTGACGGAGAGCCAGAGCAGTGGGCTAGAAGGCTTGGTGGGGGCACCTGGGGGCACTTCCCGTTGAGGGTCCACGTGACCTGAGCTCTGCTCAAGGAGCTGAGTATTGACACTTGGCCAGGAAAAAAGCACGCCCAAGTGCGCCATTGGCTGGTTGCACAGGAGCGTGGCTGTCCTCCCAGCTACACAGAAGGCAGAGGCAGGAGAGCTGCAAGTTCAAGCCAGCCGGGGCAATCTTGTGAGTCTCCATCTCAGAATTAAATTAAAAAGGACTGGGAGTGTAGGCCAGCACTAGAACGCCCGCCTGGCAAGTGCAGGGCCCTGGGTTCCTTCCCCAGCACTCTTTAGGCTCAGGTGCTGCCTGGACCGATTGTGACCTTCCAGATGTTCATGACAGTGAACTGACAGGTGTTTCATGAAGCCCAGAAGGAAAAGGTAGGGAATTCAGCACTGCCTGGGGACCAGGCATCCTGGGCATGGCGCTCGGATGAGTAGGCTGAAGCTAGGGTGTGTGCTCTGAACCAGCAGCCTCGGGCAGTGCAGCTCCTCCAGGACTACAAGTTCACCGCCTGCTACCTTTGCCCAAGAGTTTGTTCAAAACCACTGCTTCCAGCAAAGAAAGCAAGCCTGGCTACTCGGGCTCACAGCGTAGGCCCTTTCAGGGAAAAGGAATTAAGGAGAAGAAAGGAGCCAAGCACCTTTGAAAGGGGCTGTTCTGGAGAGAGGTGATCGAGTCCCGGACTCCCGCGGTGTCCCGCAGGATCACTGTGAGGGTCAGCGGCTGCGCAGAGACCTTCCCAGCGCGGGCGGGTGGGGGTGTGGAGGCAGAGCTGGCCTCCGTGGGGGGAGGGCCGGGACAGGGCTTTTTCCTAATTAGCTGTTTTCATACAGGGAACACATGACCCAAACACAGCCACCAGCCGGGGCTTTGACACGCACGGGCCCCAAGGGGGAGGTGGGCTTTTGTCTGCTGCAAATTCTTTCAACTTGCTCGTCACCCCAAGCCACACAACTCGACAATGCGTCCGATGAGTTAGGCCATTTCAGATCACTTGCTAAACGGACTGGGAGACAGGTATTATTTCAGCTCACTCAAGGTTGAAAAATACTGTAAAAGTGAAATCAGGTCTCTCTCTCTCTCTCTCTCTCTCTCTGTCTCTCTGTCTCTCTCTCTTTCTCTCTCTCTCTCTCTCTCTCTTTCTCTCTCTCTCTCCTTCCAAAGGATTTGTGACTTTCTCCCCTACTTGCCCAAGCTTCCAACCTATTGTAAAATAAGCACATTTCAAGGAACAATACTTCCCAGAAACAAGCCCGATCTATTCATTATGCCCATTTGTTCTACTTGGTCAAAACAAATAAACTACAAGGAATACAGCTGCAGAGAGAGCTGCTTTCTCTGTCTTGGAGCAGCAGCCGGTTTACAGGCCAGCAGACCACAGAGCATGGGATAAAGCTTGGACGGGCGCTTCCCCCGAGGACACGTGCATGTGTGTTCATGTGATGCTAGTCTTTGACGTGGGAGAGAAGGGAGGATAGCTCACATCTTCTCCAGTTGTCCCCTGAAGTGAACTCTGTTGCGTGCAAGTGAGTGTTCTAGAGCCCAAGTGACACGTGCTACAGCTGACCTGCAGACCTGGAACCTTCAGCACTAGCACCGCCCAGGCCGCCGGCAATGAGTACTTCCACACGGGCTTGGGAAGTTTCCATCTGCAGCCACGGGACAGGCAGCTTTGGGGGATTTTCAGTGTCCAGGTAAAGAAATGCGCAACAAAGTGCTTCTCAGAGTGCGCAGTTGGGGGCTTTCACAGGCAGGGCTGTCTAGAAAAACAAGTGCTCCTGTGTTTCTCCATAGAGCCATGTGGCTGTGGAGGACAACTGGAAACTAGCGACAAGATCACAGAAAGCAAGACAGACGCCACGCTCACCTCAGGGCAGAGCCAGCGCTGATTGGCTTAATTGCAGATAATGAGTAATGAAACCACAGCTCTCCTTGGAAAGCAAAAGGGAGCTGAAGCAATTACCCGGAAAACTCACCCACAGCCCTTTGCCAAAACGCCTTGGAAATGGAGGCCGACATGTTCTGGGTTTTGAATGTGCAGATAATGCCTTCAATTCCCCACCTCCATGTGTGCAGAATGACCTGGGCTCTGTGCATACTTGGTTCATTTTGTTTTGATGTTTTGAGACAGGGTCTCACGGGTCTGGAACTCACTGTGCAGCCCCAGCTGCCCTCGGATTCCTTGCAATCCTCCTGCCTCAGCCTCTTGAGCACTGGGGAGGGCCGACAAGCCACCATGCCTGGCTTCAGTGCATAGTTTGCTCTTAGAAAATAGAAACTCGTTTCCTACAGTAGGGCTAGCATTCTGGGGAGCCAGGACCTCTTGGCAGGCCTTGTGGCTGGGCTGCTCCTGGAGGTGATGACAATCCAAGGAGGATAAAAGAGAGAACAGGGTAAAAAGACCTTTCCTAAGGATCGGACTTAACTTCATTTTTAAAGAAATAGCAGCTGGGTGTGGTGGTGCATGCCTGTAATCTCAACACTTGGGAGGCTGAGGCAGGAGGGTCGCTGAGAGTTAGAGGCCAGCTTGGACTACGTAGTGAGACCCTGTTTCAAATAAACAAACAGACAGACAAATATTAAAAATTGCTAAGAAATAGCAATAAAAATTCAAATGTCAATCATTGGAAAAATGAAAAAGAGGAGTTCATGAGGCCACATGTACAGGCTGAAGCTGAAGGCATCCTCACATGCCACGTCTGGTCCCCAGGGACAGGGCGCTGTCACCTGGATGCCCGGTAGCAGGGGCGCATGCCTTCTGCTACTTACTCCTCTGTACTCTGGGTGTGGGAAGGGCGTGTGTGCAGAGCCTGCTCCCCACCTCTGGGCTGCCATAGCATCTTTGTGCTAACAGCACCGCGTGTCTGCACTCCCACCTGCCCATCTCGCTGTGACCTAGTGGCCCTGACACCCAGGGGAGGAGTTGGCGGACAGGCGCAGGGAGGGCCGGGCCACCTTACCGAAGCTCGGGGCGCTGTGCAAGGTCATGTCCCGGATCACCCTGGTGCCAAAGCAAGACCACATCAGGAGGAACTGCTGGGCCACCTTCTTCAGCGACCCTTGTCTCTTGGCAGCCACCTGTAAGAGAGTAGAGGCCGCAATGGTGGGCGGCTGTCTCGGGTTGCCGTCTCTTGGTAAAAATGATGGGAGGGTTTGGTCAGTACAACAGGACAACGCTTTCTGGCTTCTCACTCCTCGCAGCAGGACCTCACTGGCAGGTGGCACTGGCAGGTGGCACTGGCAGGTGGCACTGGCAGGTGGCACTGGCACCACTAATCATAGCTCAGCCACGGAAGCCCATCAACAGATGGGTGGACAAAAACACATGGAGCTTACATGGAGCACTGCTCTGCCATAAAGAAGGAAGAAGTCGAGTCACTTGTGGGAAATGGATGCACCTCGTGATAATGTGAAGTGAAACAGACTGGCTCCGTGGGCGTCAGCGTCACCTGGTTTCTCTTACGTGAGAACCCCAAAGGGTAAATAAAGGGCATGATAAAAGACAGATAATGGGAACTGTCGAGATCTTTTGCAAATGGGAAGCGGAGCAAGAGGTGGAGGAGGGGAGAAGGGGGAAGGGGAAGGGGACAGAAAAAGAATTCAGATGCATTACATGCATGCTCCGACTGCACAAGGAATGGAGACAGTACGCGTCTCACATGTCCTGGTTTCCATAAAATCAAATCCCATGCCAAGAATTCATGTACTGAATAGCTAAGTGTCACCGGGCTGGGTGACTGGTGGTACTGAGATCCCTGGCCTTCCCCTCCCTGGGGACCCCAGCTCACTGACCTTCACGACGCACCGGTCCACCATGGTGTCCAGCCACTCGATGTAGGATTCAATGGGAGACTGCTCCTCCAGGAGGTGGTCGAACTCCTGGTACACTGTCAAACAAAGCAGACCATGCGCCTGGCTGCCACTTGTGCAGACCGAGGTGCGTCCTGAAGGACCAACTATGGACAAACAAAACCTCACAATCTTGCAGGGCTTTCAAGGGTGTTCAAAGTCAAAGCTGCACCTTACGCTCCCAGCCTCAGGCTCCATGGCTGGGAATTGTGAGGTCATTTTTAGCCCCCCAAGAAGCCCCCCTTTCTTTAAAGCCCCAGTCCTTTCCTTGAACCTTTCCCGTGCGAGTGGCTACAAGCCTGTTGCTCCATGGTTCTCTCTCCCAGCACACCCGGGAGCCACGCTTGACCTGTTTGGCATCATAACCCGTGCAGGTGACTCCCGGTCAGGTCTGAGCTGGACACTTTCGGTGCCTACTCGTTGGCCCAGAGGCAGCTGTTGTCTGGCAAGTACTTGCTTGGGTTACGAGGCAGAGGCACTACTGCCCGCTGGCTCTCCAACTTTCGCGGTCCAGGGTTCTAGGCTACAACTATTGGGCAAACAGCTTAGTCGGCCACTCAGGGCTCCATGTGGACTAGGTGCTCAATAGATACCTGCTGAGTGACTTCATTCCTTGTGCTCAGTCCCCGCTGCGGTCACTGAGAGTGGAGGTTCTTTGTGATCAGGGAACTCTGTGGCCGAGGGCCAGCAGCAGCATCTCTCTTCATTACCTTCTTGGATGTGGATCACAATAAACCTAACTAAAATTCAGGATCCATGCAGTCCCTTGTCTTCACTGGTCTGAGTGGCTTTTGCTTCGGGGTCCAGAGGCTTGGCCAGTCTGGACCATCGTACCTAGTAGCTGACAGCAAGGCAGATCAGCTCGGGGCCTGAAGGGGCCAACACCAGGCGAGGGAATGGGACTGTGTTTTCTGGTGTTGGGAATTGAGCTGAGGGGCTTCACACTGAGCTACAGTTCCTGAGTCTTGTGTATTTTTTCTTCTGTGACATCATCTCACTGAATTGCTGAGTGGTCCAGGGTGGGCTCACACCACCACTCCTCCTGCCGCAGCCTCCTGGAGCTCTGGGGTTACAGGTGTGTGGCACCATGTCTAGCTAGATCTGTGTCTTCAAAGTCCATTTAGTCGATCGTTCTTATTTTGTAGATAAAGAGCCACATCTGCCTGGGATTAGATGACTCACTCAAGGTCAGAGAACAAATCAGGGCCCGGGGCCCAGGCCCTGGCGCTCCTTCTCTCAGCCCACTGCTGTCTCTGTGCCTGGCCATGTGGGCTTCAGTCCACGGTGGCGGCCATAGCTGTGGCACAGTGGGGGCTCATAGCAAGCGTGGCTGAGCACCCGGCATACGCAGGCCTTCTTCTCAATGCCCTCCACGTGCGTACTGGTCCAGCCTGGGAGAGCCCCTCAGGTGTGAGCGTCATAGGGTGGCAGTCTCGGTTTGTCGTGAGGCAGAGCAAAGGCACACGTGTTTGCTGAGCGAGTGTGCAGGCGCCCCAGGCGGTCGGTGCTAGGATTATCCCCCGTCTTACAAAGGAGGACTCGGAAGCCCCTGAAGTGAGCAACTTCCCAAAGCCTTCACGGCCGGTGAAGGGCAGCCACAGCTGGGCTCCAGTGCCAGGCTCCTGACTGCGCCAGTGCAGCGGCAGTGGGCACGTGGTCCTCTGTGTCATCCCCTGGGTGCAGGTCTGAATGCAGCTCTGTCACGCACTCCAGCCCCACGCCGCCACCGTGGGACCCTGACCCATTCTGACTGCCTCATGAGCACCGTCCGTGCGGTTGGTGTTAGGCGGGCCAGGCGTCCCCGGCCAGCACTGGTGTTGCGGACGAGCACCCAGCAGGGGCTGGCCACTGTTAGGAGTGCTCGGAGCGAAGCGCTGCCAGCCCGAAAGGCAGCAACCTGACTTAGGTGCCCTGCAGATCTTTCCATTACAACTGATGGAGAACTAAGGTATTTCCACAAGAAATACCTCAAGAAATTTCTGACTACCACACAAGCATTACGAAAAATTCTCAAGGCTGTCCCAGAAAGAAACAATGAAACCAACGACATCAGTGAGTCAAACAGAATGAATACCCCTGGCAGGACAAGCAGCCAAGCTCAAGGGGAAAGAGGCAAACCACCAGCAGGAAAAGAGCGCAATGGCGGGCATAGGTTGGCACCTCTCAGTCACACCTCTCAAAGTGAATGGTCTCGGTTCCCCAATCAAAAGACACGAGTTGGCAGATCAAAAAAGAAATCTTGGGATGTGCAGCAATAAGAAACATACTTAATTTTAAAAGATATATATTTAAAATAAGGAATGGATTTTTTTGCTCCGAATGCCTTCAAGGCATGACTGGCTGTCTTGTGTTGTGGGGATCGAACCACAGCAACCTGAGCCTCACTGCTTTGTCGAAGCAGCCACTTAAAGAACTGAGCTAAGGGGCAGGCCCCCTAAGGAATGGAAAATAATATTCCATGCAAATGCAACCCGGAAAAAAGGTAGAAGTAGCTTTCGGAATTTCAGACAAAGCAGATTTCAGGCTAAGACTGATCAGAATAGACCAAGAAGGGCCCCCCACCAACTGATTAAGGAAACAATTCAACATGAAGTTAGCAATTATGAACATATATGCACCAAATACTGGTGCACCCAACTTCAGAAAACAATAACTAATAGACACGAAAAATCAGATAAACATCCACACGACAAGCACGGTAGTATGTTAGTCCACAAACTCAGCTGGTTTTGCAGCTCTGGTTGCAAACTGAACTGGGCGAGAACTGTATCCAGTGCAGTGGTCGGGTTTAATGTTAACCTCATGGAGAAATTTGACCTGGTTCTCACTCAATTCAGTATGCAACCATAACAGTGGGAATTATTAAGTTTGTGAACTGAGGTGCCACTGTACTGGAGGGTACCTCAATACCCACCTCCACAAATGAACAGACCCGCTAGCCAAAAACATCAACAAAGAAGTATCAGAGTCGAACCAAACCTCCAAACAAATGGCCTTAATAGATGTCTAGAGTGCTTCATTCAACAAGAGTACACATTCTTCTCAGCAGCACATGAACCTCTCTCTGAAATAGGCCACATGTCAGCCAACAGCATGCCTAATTAAGGAAACGCAGAAGAATCGAAATTATCCCATGCATATTGTCAGATCATAGTGCAATGAAACAAAAAATTAATGGCAGGTGAAACCATATAAATTATGCAAGTACATGGAGAGGACATAATACTTTCTTCAATAATCAATGGGCCACAGACGAAATTAAAGAAGAAACTAGACAGTTTCTATAATCAAAAGGTAATGCCCGTATGACACACCTGAACCCATGGGGTGCAATGAAAGCAATCCTAAGGGGGATGGAAGTTCATAGCAGTGAATTTCCACACAGAAAAACAGAATGAGCTCAGATAAATAACCTAATGATGATGTACCTTAAGGTCCTAGAAAGCCAAAAACAATACAAACCCCAGACTAATACAAAAAAGGAAATTACAAAGATTAGGCAGGCAAAGGAAATCACTAACACAGTGAAGAGGTGACCTACAGAATGGGAAAAAAATTGTTGACAGCTACTCCTGAGATGAAAGACTAATAGCTAAAATATATAAAGAACTGAAAAAAATTAGCACCCCCTCCCCAGTTTAAAGATCCAATTAAAAAACTGGTCATCTGGGTGAATAGTAACTTCTCAGATGAAGAAGTACAAATGGCCAATAAATACATGAAAAAGTGTTCACCATCACTGGCCATTCGAGAAATGTAAAACAAAACAATACTGAGATTCCATCTCACTCCCCAAAAATGGCTGCCATCAAGCAACCAACCATGGGCCAGCAAGGCGGCTCAGCAGACTAAGCCCCTGCTTAGGGAAGCGCAGGGACTGGGATTTGATCTCTGGAACCACAGGCCACACACGCCCTACCCTTCAGGCCTCCTCATCTGGCCACCGAGACCAGGCGTGGTGCTGCATGCCTATAACCCCAGCACTGGAGAGGCTGAAAACAAGAGGCTCACTATGAGTTTGAGCCACATAGTGAGACCAGGCACCAAATCCATTAACGAAAAGGAAGCAAGAAACCAACCAAAAGCAAGCGTTGCCAAGGCTGTGGGGAGAAAGGAACCCTTCTCCATCGTTGGCGGGGTGTGAGCTGATACGGCCACTATGGAAATCAGTATGGAGAGTCCTCAAAAAACTAACAGAAGACACCGCATTTGAGCCAGCCACACCCCTTCTAGGGATCGTCCCCAGAGGGTTAGAGACATCGCCACACAGCGACGTATGCAGACGTGTGCTTGCAGAAGCAGAGGTCACAAGAGCCAAGTCTTGGAAGTAGCCTCGCTGTCCACCACCAAGTGGACCTACATACACAGCGGAGTGCTCCTTTACTATAAAAAGGGCACACTCGAGTCATCTGGAGGAGAATGGACTCACTGAGACCGTAACGTCAACCCAACACTCAGACACCCGAACTTAACTATCGTACGGGTTCACGCGTCCTATGAATATATGACATAGTAGGATAAGAGAGAAAGGAAAGGCACGGTGATCCAGCACAGACAGTGCGGCCAGCGGTCCTCTCGACTTAGCGCAGCCATCTTGCGTGTTTCACGCGTTCTTTGGCCCAACGGTCTGGTTTTTCAACCTGCATGTGTGATGACTGACTTCACAAGGACCTATGGGATAAAGAAGTGAATCTGATGCTGAAAAAACACAAGAGGGGCAGAAGGAGGGGACAGCAAGGGGACTGAAGCGTGGCGTGGAGGGGACAGCAAGGGGACAGAAGCGTGGCGCGTGCCCTTCCCAGCGCCCTACGCTGAATGTGATCATTGTGGACTGCGAACAGTTTGTTTACTTTTGATTGGCGAATCAAAGAAAAAAAGAAAAAAGAAAGAAAGAAAACGATAAGCCTTTATTTATCTCAAGGAAAAGCCCAGAGTAGCTGGTTGATGTGCCTGCCATCAACAGAAAGCGAGCGAGTGGTCCCAGCCCTGCTCCGATTCCAGGATGTCCAGCTGCCACTGGGAGGCACACAGTGACACCAGGCATGGGGCATTTACCTCCACACGTGGTGCCCTTCTCAGTCTTGCTTCCTGTCCTCTGGGCCAAGGGGTCCCGTCACTTGTCATCGTGTGGCTTGTCACTAACCCCAGCTCCATGAGGGTGGGGAGCTCACTGCCCTCTGCCCTGGATGGACATTCAGCAGGCATCAGCAGGGTGACTGTACTGGAACATGCGCCGGCCTTCTCCAGGGAGGTGACCAATCTCAGCTTTCAGGGCATCATTCTGCCCAAGCCTAGGAGCCTGGGAAGGCTCCAGAAGGCTCCCCTTCGAGAGAGGGTGGCCTCCTTAGGCACAGGGCCCATGCCCTCAGCGAGCTCTCCACATCGTCCTTTCCCTGGAGTGAACTTCCCATCTTCCTCACCCACAAAGGGTATGAGGAAAAAGAGGACCAGGCCTCATGCTGCTGATGGCTGACATGGCTGGAGCTCCAGTTCCCAAGGACATGAGGGACACCTGCTCTGCACCTGGCACCTGGGGACATGGCGATCAGAGGGGCCTGAGGGTCATGCCATTGGGACGATCTTCTGGATGGAGATAGGAAAGGCAGGCCAGGACGCTTAGTTGAGAGCTCCTGGACAGATTTGGGACCCCTTCAACTTGCCCACTTCCAGGGCGTTGGTCTTCTCTCTTCCTGAGATGTGAGTCATGTGAGGCCATGGGACAGGCTGAGGCCAGACCCTACTCTGCAGTCCCCGGGTCCCTCAGCTCAGTGTGACCCTGCCTGCTGAGGCTGCCAGCTCTCTGGGCTGTCGTCTTCTCTCCAGTGGGCTTGACACGGGCTGGGCAAAGAGCTGATGGCTGCTAAGCGGCGTCATCATCTGGCGACTTTCCCTAAAATTCTTCACGGGGGCAAAGTGGACGGGGGCAGCTGTGCAGGAGGCAACCAGAGCCAAGCCAACCCAGGGTGGCCCAGAAAGCAGTCCCAGGTCCCTCCGCACACTGGAGGCCCTGGGAAAAGCTCCTAGGGGAATATGGGGAGACTTTGTCATAGGCACCACCAGTCCCGACTGGACGCCCATGGAACGATCCCCCCGCTGCAAGAGTGCGGAAGGCAAGCCTGGAAGTGGCGGCTGCCTCACCAGGCCACAGCTCAGACAGCCTGAAGGAGCAAGCCCTGCCCAGCCCTCGCTCCAGGATCCTGGTATAAGGAGCTGGCCCCGCTGGAGCCCCGGGCGGCGGGATGGGCCGTGCTCACAGCCATGATGTGTTCTGCCTGCTCCTGCTTCTCCGTGGAGCAGCCCCTGTCTGCTCAGGGCAGGGGCTGTGGGGCAGAAATGTCCATCCACGTGGGCGGAACAGAGCTCTCAGAGGACAGAGAGCTCTTTCTGCACATGTGTGGCAAGTCAGGGTGGGGGACAGCTCACATGACCCCGAAACACTGCGGACTCCAGGCGGGCATACAAGGGCTGAGCGAAAACTACACTGAATGTTGAAATTAAAAATAATCATTACAGCGAAAGACATGTGGCCCGGAACGGCCTCACTCCCAGCATGCTGATGGCCGCTCTTGCCACGTTCTAAAGTGGTTCTGGAGGCCACGGTCGCGAGGGTCTTCATGAAGTGTGATGTGGTGAACGCTGCTATCTGGGGTGGTCCGGGGTGGTCCGGGGTGTCCCCGCCCACCCTGCGCAGTGGGTCTGGCACTGTGCTCCGGCCCAAGTAAAAAGACCAGGGAAAGGAAATGTTTTGAATCCATTTGAGAAAGCAAGGCAGACTACAGGAACTTAGGAAAGATTTCCAGACCTGCCCCACAAAGCCGCAGGAACGGTGTGAGCACGCAGGGTGAAGGGATTATTTTGAGGGGAATCAATGAAGATGTGTCTTTTACTGTAATAATTTTAGAAATTTAAACATTCCTTATAGTTGTCAAACCACACCTTGTCTACCTAGACCAGCAACAAGCTAAGTTTAGCTCCCATTCGTCCTGTCATCCGCACAGAGGTCTGCCTGGCACTCAGGTCCCACGCGGGTCCCCCACCATATCCTGCCAGCTGTGCCAGCCCTCTTGTCACACACGTGTCCAGTCAATCTGCCCTCCCGTCTGGACCAACTCTCAAGAGGGATGAGGTCCCGGGAGAAGGACAGGGTGGGCCAGGCCTCCCACACGGTCGCCGAGCTACAGAACTAGCGGGGCAGCGGCGCGGGCCTTACGCTGCACGATGAGCTTGCGGTGCTCCTCGCGGGAGTCCTCCATGGTGTACAGGGTCTGCTTGGCGATGCTGCTGAGGTCCACGTTGCGCCAGTCCTCCAGCATCTGGAACGTGATGTCTGCGCTGTGGATCACCGTCCGGGACGCCTACGGCCCAAGCCAGCCGGTTAGCACCCCGTCACTAGGACACACGCATGGACACACACACACACAGACAGACACACACACAGACAGACAGACACACATACAGACACACACACAGACACACATACAGACACACACACACACACACACACATACAGACACACAGACACAGACCCAGACCCAGACCCAGACACAGACCCAGACCCAGACCCAGACCCAGACCCAGACCCAGACACAGACACAGACACAGACACAGACACAGACACAGACATTGCCTTCCTGCCCTTTTAATGCATCTGCTTCGGGCACTGTGTAAGGCTGCTCTGAGATTCAGGAAAATACTTCTAGGGGTGCAGCCGACGGCTCCACGACCCAGGAGACCCCGGTGCTGCCTCTTGCGCGCTCTCTCCTCCCACATCCCCGCAGGAGCCTGCAAGGTGTGCTGGGCTGGCTCAGACCCTGCTGGGTCCAGCCCACCTGGCCTTGGCCCTGCAGAGCAGCAGGAGGGAACCCCGAGAGCCGCCTGCTTCCCGCCTTGAGCTGGGGGGCCCTGGACGTAGTCACCCACCTGTCTCTGGGGCTGGATTAGGGGGTGTCCCTGCTCCGCCTGCCCACTGTGGACTCAGCTGCACACATTTAAATTGTGCAATTTTTCTATAAGTGTTCTAAAGCATTTTAGGCCCTAGTTTTCCATTTTTGCTTTTTATATAATTAGCATGATTAAAACAAATATGAATTACTGAGATGGAGCAGAAAGGAAATAGTTTTTTGTTTTTGTTTTTGGTGTGTGTGTGTGTGTGTGTGTGTGTGTGTGTGTGTGTGTAATGGTCTCTTAAAGCTGTGACTTCCACAACAAATCCTCCTTAGTCAACCTAAATTTACAAGTTGGAGCAACAGGTGGAACATTATCACTACAGTGGAACA